ATACCTTTTAACTCTTTATGGGATTGCCGCTCTTAACTCTATTGCCAGTGCATACATGAATGAATTAGAATAGTGTTTATGCGCTACCTGGACGACTACTCAGTAGTTTAGTCGTAAGGAACAGGAAAATTGGATGATTTCATGAAGGCTATCCACCAGATTCATAAAGGAATCAAATTCACAATGCAAATAGAGGAAGATAAGCGGTCACCTCTTCTGGATATTGAAGTCATTCGCTGTAATCGAAAACCCAAGAGAAAAGTGTTCAGAAATAAATGATGTCGGAATAAATCTTAATTACGGATTTCATCATAGCTACATACAGAAGATAGGAATACTGAGAAGCATGATCATCGGTAACCTACGCTTAACGAACGTGGAATTCTTGGATGAAGAATTGCAAAAAATGTCTCAGGAAGAGTAATAAAAATAAGCATACTGGCCGTGAAGAGCCGATGGCAGGACGGGGAGCATGAAAGAAAGGTAAAGATGGAAAAATAATGACAAAAAAGGCTTTGCCCCTCTTCCTGCAAGCTAACTCAAAAACGACAGTTAATATTAAAATAATGCAATATTCAAGTGGCCACGAAGGAATAAACCATGCTCTTCACAGGTCTACCCACGCAACATGAGAATGTGAACAATTTGTATTGCTCGTGAGTGCATGCGGTTTCTGCAGACACAATATATTTGCGAAAGAGGAAAAAAAAATCAGCAAACAATTTAAGAAAAATCAAAGACCCTGCAGGAAAATGTATATGAAAAGATGAGAATTAGCGAAACACATCGCACATACTGGACATGGGATCAATTGGGAGGCAACAGAAAGAGAGATCTCATGCAGTGAAGACACACGAAATCGGAAGATCAGGAAGGTCATTGACATTCTTGGGGAAACAAATCTAATGAACAGGAGAGTGAAAGAAGTTGGCGATAACTTTGCTTACTGCTTAAGCAAGCTTGAAGCAGAGAAGAAAACCGAAGGTAAAGGGATCGCAATGAAGTAGTGGGTGGGCTAGTTTCTGAAATCAAGTGAAGACGTTCTCAATGAGTGCAGTCCGTTCAAATAAACAACTACAACTTTGCGGCCTGGCGATCTCGTGACTAGGGAGACGGTGATAGCAACCGTTACAGAAATTCGGTATCATGACCTACTGACAAGGGATAGACATCGAAAATTTGCTCGTGATAGACGATTTTAATCAAATAGAGGAGGAAATGTGGAGGAAACGCCAAATGTCTGCAAGAATGTAAAGCAGGGCCCATGCATTCTGCTGATGAGGTGACTTTGTAGGTGCTACTGAAGGCTTGAAAAGTAAGTCCAGGAGGAAAAGAAGATCGGGACCGGAACCGAGTGAAATCGGTGAACCAGAAAGATAGGAATGGGATCTACGAGACGATGAAGGAGAGCCAGACAGAAAGTCCGAGTCGGATCAGCCAATCGAAGGGGACATGGGCAAGGTAGAAAGCCTGTATTAAGATGCTACACTAAACTTGTTAAAAATGGCACATTTGAGGGATGGGAGTGGGATAAGTGGGCAAGGGGTAGATAGATGGTCTAGGACAGAAAGAGCAGTGATAGCACAACCGTTTCGGTAGAAAGTTGATCAAGGAATTGGCTTCACATTTTTCGTGAGTGAGTAGGTTTTTGAGACTACCATCAAATAAGATAAATCAGTATTTTTCACCCTATTTCGTTTAAGGTGATGAAGATCTGGTCGTAGAATTTCATCTTAAACGAAATAGGGTGAACACAATTCCTATATGTGACTTACTGGTGGTCTCGAAAATCTACTCACTCACGAAAAAATTAATGTTTCCAATGCTTTAACAAATATAAGTTTGCTTCATCGACAATTCCAACACAGAATGCGATACGAAAAATGCCTGACATTCCTTGAAATTCACATCTACCCTGTGACCCAAGAGCACTCGCGGCAATGTGGCGAAGTGAGTAACATGTTGAGCGTACAAGCTGCTCTGTCAGGGTTCGACTCCCACTTGCGGTGCTGATATGATCTGGGTGAGATCGAAACTGCACGACTTTTGCGAAAACAAGGCTATGTGAAATTCCATGGAAATATCATATAATTATGGGAAAATCAACTGCCAGTCCTTCATAGACCTAATAGAAATAGGGTGAACACAACTCATATATTGGCTTTCCTTATCTTTTTTGATGAGTTGTAGATGAAAATGTGGTGAAAATGGCAAGGTTCTTTAACGATGCCGACTATGATGTATCAAGTCCACTTTGCAAAGCTGAGAATTATGGTAACTACTATAGCAGAGGACTTCGAACAAGGTGCGTCCAACTAAGTCGTCTTGACTACAGGATCAAGTTACAAAAAACGAGGTCAGTCCAGTTCTATCTTTCAAAAGATTGCTAATGAATTTCAATGTTAAAATCAAAGGTCCCCTCCATTTCAGCATTCCTGCCTCCTTGACAACATTAGCAGCAAATGTAATAAAGTCTCCTTGATTGTTTAATTGTCCACTAAGCAGAGCACTTAACTTTGCTTTTTTCCTACGCCACAAGATGTAGGATATGATATGCTGTTTTGAGATTCTTATTATATTTATACCTACATGGGTAGAGCCCAAAGTGCAATTTGGGAAACAATGAACGTTTATTTAACGTATATTCGGCTGATGGTCTGTCTCATCGAAAAAATTTCAAACAACTACAGGGGATCTTAATTTTTAAGCGAAATTTATTAATCATTCTGAAGTAATGCCGCTAGGCTCAATTTGTATGTGGAATTGTAACCGAATCCCTATTGGTACCCTATTCTCAATAATTATGCTTTCGCAGATTAGAGAATTATACAACCGGAATCCTTGTTTTCTGTAATTTTATCAATCTCATCATGTACATAACCGATTCATAGTATCTACTTCTCAACCTGATGGCCTATAAACAGGCAGAAGTCTGAAATGCTGCCATGATCTATTCTGACATACTGCCCTACTTGAAAGAGCCGGTTTCCAATTTGCAATTGCTACAACGCATAGGTTCATATGATTTAAACAAAGTGGTTTAAATGAGTTGACAACCTGTGGAGTAAACGGCAAAAAGCGAGTTTGCCTCGTTCCATCGAAATGCCTGACATCTGAGATCTGTCTGGCTTGGCATGACTTGCTCGGCCTGGTCGGTTCCTCCTCGATGCGTACTAGACTGCCGTCGGGGGCAGAGATCACCGTTTGGCCGGAATTGGGATCTTTGGCTACGAGATATTCAACCTGCGCCAGATCGGACATGCGCCAATTGGTTGAGCAAAAGTTCATGCTCTTCAATGGCAGACTGGAGTTGACGAGACCCGGCTCCGGTAACATGTTTGGGCTGTTGTCGCCCTGCAAACGTGTCGAGACGAGGCTGGCGTCGTGAGAGGAAGTCGGAATGAGCCAGAAACGTTGGCCTGTCCATGACGTCACCAGCCAGATATCGTCTGGATTACTGGGCGCTGAAGGATCTTTGTCGTCTTGTATGACAGAGCTGCCAATTTCAGGCATGACAATTTCATTTTCTCGCAAACCCATTGCCTCAGATTCACTGCGACCAGTGCCCAATTGGCCGTTTGCCTTACCTTTTGCCATACATCGAAATCCCAATACAAATGGAATATAAAAAATGAATTAGCGAATTATGCATACACCAGACAAGTATATGATTCACACTTCAGCTAACAGGCACTCTTTTGAAATTTGTCATCCGCCCAATCAAGAGGTAGTGTAGGCATTAAATTTTCCTATCTATGATTATCGCTTCAACACAAAAGCATGCATCCACTGCATACTCCAAGCATTGTGCTGGTTGAGCTTGGCTACCAGAGACTACTCATAAGGAGGCGAGTAGGCTAACTTCCATTCTGACATTCTATCCTATTATATTCTGACTTCTAGCGCATATCACAGAGCTCGTTGACAACGAAGTTTCATCTCGCCTGTTAATAAAAGATTCTTTTTTGCACAATCACTTGCCTCGAAAGACCTGTCGAACTCCAGGGTTTTTTGAGAAGCATTACGTAAAAATACTGATGAATTGAAGGACTTAATGAAATTTAGGAAAAGAAAGTCATTCTGCGAAAGTAAACTGTTAAAAAGCTTGGTTAGTAAGTTGAAAAAATATTTAAAATTTTGTAATGCCAACTTAGTCGCCGTAATAAGTGAGTTTTTCCCATAATGAGATTAGTAGGCCTCATGATTAACTTCAGTTGGTTTTGGGCAAAAGTCAACTATCAGCCGCTAAACCATCAAAAGCGAGCGAGATTCACTAAGATCCTGTTTGATAGCTACTCATATAGCATTTCTTTCTGCTGTTTCAACTACACTTTAACACGCTTGACTCGAAAAGTAGGGCATGATATAATAGCAAAATAATATTGGGTCTCCTGCGTAACAGCTAGTGATAAAAAATAAATAAAATACATCCTTAAAGTTCGGATAACTCATGACTAAAATAAATGGCTCATATTCTTTATTGTTGAAAGGGTCTACAAGTTAAGGGAGCATTGCTATTTTTCGCATAAATTGAAGGACCATATCTACATTCGAAGAAAAGTTGGGTTTCGAGGAATCTCCTGTTTCATAATTGTTGATCTTACTTCCATTTCGAGTGAAAGTGTTGGGTGAAGCGATTCGAAGGTCGGTTCCACCAGAAGACGACGGCGTATTCCTCTTGATCAGCTGTTGATTGGCTTGACTGAAAGATTCATTAAAAGTTTGATTTCCCACCAAGATTCTGATCTGATTCGAAAGTTAGTACATGTGAAGTAAATGACCATTATTGGCATTCATAATCAGTAGTACATTCATTCATTCCAAATTATATTTAACATCAACTATGCTAGGCGCCGAAACATTCATAACCCTTTCCCTACTCAATTCTTCCATCAACCGAATGCATGATAGTTCCTCCTTTCGGTGTATCGTAATTGAGACAACCAAGTAACCCAAAACTTCAGATAAATTTGAGTGATTTGAGTAAAGTCGATCTCCAG